GCCTGCGAGTATCTGGCAGGACAGGCGCCTGGCGTGGCAACGCCGGCGTGACGTGACGAAATGAGCACCACTGAGCACGCGCCCCGCATCACGTCTAAAGGTAATGGCGCCTTGACAGTGGCATGTAGTCATTTTCTCACATGACACACATCTCATGATTATCATGTTTGCACCCATCACATACCTTCATCTTCCATTGCCGTCACGTAATACCAAATTTTGCATATGTGAAGCTATTGAAACGTCCGCGAGCGCATCATCAGTGTGGCGTTTAGTGATGTAGTTACATGACACGCATGCCATGTTTATCATGTTTTGATGTGTCATTTACCTATGTAGTCCGTTCGCGTCACGTAATATCGCCTGTAGTACATGTCAAGGCATTGAAACGGCCGCGAACACATCATGAGCGTAGCATGCAGTCATGTTGTTGCATGACACGCACCTCATGTTTATCATGTTTGCATCAGTATCATACTTTCGTCATTCATTCACTTACTGTAATACCAAATTTGGTATATGTGACGCTAGAGAAATGGTTGCGATCGCATCAGTAGCGCGGCTTGTAGTCATGTTGTTATATTACACGCATGCCAAGATTTTCATCTTAGGGTCTGTCGCTTGTGTTCGCCATACAATCATGCTTTACCATACATACATGTTTGCAACATGCCATGTGAACGAAACCGTCACATGAGCTGCAGGACTATGAAATGTAACTCATAACATTCAAGACATACATGTGATGATTTCCGTGTTACGACTAGTCAATTATGTTCTTCATAAGGTCATGTTATGCCATACCAAGTTTGCTATTGATAACATTATCAACACGGCCAGGAGAGCTAAAAGCCGCAGGCGCCTAGACAAACAGATAGACAGACAGATAGATAGATAGATAAATAGATAGATAAATAGATAGATAAATAGATAGATAGATAGATAGATTGATAGATAGATAGATAGATAAACTCAATGTCGCCGAAGTTCGCTAAGAAATGCTTCACATTTAAAAAATCGATCCCATCTGTTTTCGCACTTCTTCTGTCGGCAATGGTTCAAGCTTCAGTGAAGACCACCAGCGTAAAACCAGTCTTTCAACGTTGACACGGCACCATCCAGGCGCGAAAGACGTTGACACTCAAGATGAAGATACATAGGAAAGCACTGGAATCATAGCTGATAGATAAAGTTGAAAGATGAAAATCAGGAATAAGAGACAGACCACTGACGTCGAAGCATCACAGCGAGTAGAAATAAATGAGGTCGGAGATGCCTCTCTTTTGGGTATGGGTGGCAGAGATGAAAAAAAAGGCAGACAGAAAAAAAGGTTGCGTGTCTTACTGATGGAGTTCCGAGCGTCGCTGAAGCTTGTCATTTCAGTAAATCACTTCTGAGAAGAGACAGGCCGGGAATTCCGCAAGCACAGATTTGAATGAACCGCTTTCATTAGGAGTGACAAGAACGGATGGAAGCCCGAGTTGTCAGTCTTGTAACGAAAAAAGCAGTAGCAAAAATGAGTACAACTTTTTCCAAGTTTTGTATTGGTGCAAGTTCATCTTTCATTTCCAGCCATTGTCATCAACGCAGACTGCCGCGAAAAACTTTCTTTGTAGGGACGACGTCGATAACGTTCTTCTAGTTATTGCTGGGTTCAAGGCTGTTTCAAGTTTATTTGTGATTTTGATATCGCAAAGTTTATATGATGGCGTTGTCGCAATCAGCGACCAATATTGAACGACTGCATTTTGCGTAAATGGTGTTTGTTTTTTCTGCCGTATTTTACTGTCACAGAGTCGTGACAATAAAGAACGCAGAAATCAGCGTGTTTCAGGGAAACGTTTTATTAGCGCGCACCTGCGGCAAATGGCAGAAACTCCCCGTCCCTTCCATGGTGCGCACTCTATCAATGTGATACGCTGCGGCAGCGCCACTTTCACTACCTGCTACTGCTGAGCATGCTATTAAAAATAATTCACTGTAGAGAGAAAGAAGATTATGTGCCGCAGAGGGTCACGCCTTTAGCGGGAGGAGCTGAGCGTGAGCTGTTGCCCCGAGCGCTGTGATTCCTGGGTCAGTTGCTGTCGCCCGCTTTCCGCATCAATAGACCTGCTGTGCAAGTACTGCTTACGCCGATAAACCCCGTTTCGGAGTGGTCGAGGTGCGGGGTAGGGGGTATACACCATTTCATGTAATTTTGTTCAGTCGCTGGTAGTCGACACAATATATAATCTAACCGTCTTTTTTTCCTCACTAGCACTACAGGTGAAGGCCAGGTGCTAGAAGATGGCTTGATAACACCGCGCTGAAGCATTTGGTTCACCTGCTCTGCAATTACACCTCGTTACTTTGGCGATACGCGGTAGGGGCGTTACCACAAAGGAGGGTGCGTTCCAGTGTAGATTGTGTTAGCGAAGGTGTTAGTTTGACTCAGTGCCTTTTGAGAAATGTTAAATGAATCTCGGAATCCATGCAGAAGAGTTATTAGCTGGTCCCGTTGATCCGGAAGAAGCTTGCTCTCGATGAAACGATTGAAAACACGCGAGGAGTAGTCATCCCATGTAAAAAGAGAAGTAACAGCGTTCAGTTGAATTTGTTGGCCACCAGGGTCGTGGTACTCAACAGGCATCAACAGGAACGACATAGCCTAGTGTTTTGTGAGCTCTTAATATTGGAGGGCATGAGCTAGGATTGCAAACGACGATTCTGGAAGTATCTTGGTGAGGTAGCAGAACGGCGTACGGTAGAGACATACGATGGCGGTGACATAAAACGTCAGATGTGGAGAACACAGTGGTAGAGCCGGACAATTCAGTGCGATTGACGGGGACAACGATGGCACTAAGAGGAGGAACATCAATGTCAGAAGGAACAAGAAGCTTGCCAAGGTGAGTGCGCTCATTGTAGTTAGATGGCGCATCAGAAAACACGAAAAATTCCCAACTGCACGCGAGCGCAGTCAATTACGGCGTAGTGGCGCGACGAAAAATCTCATCCAGGTATCACACCGTGGGAACAAGTGGTCAACACGAGAAAATTGATGTTGTACAGGACGTCCTGAATGATTACTCTCGCCATACATTCCTCGAATGGTCAAATTGGTTGCGCGCTCGCGGTATTCAGCAAAATATCGGAAGGCGTCGTCCTTACTTTTCATATCGAACGGCGGAGTTTTTGACTCATCACAGATACAGCAGCACCCATGTCAACAAGCGCATGAGTTCGTAGACCCTCAACAAACACTTACAGAACGTCTGTTAGGGACGGGCGAGGACTACTAGAATGCTAAGATTTCGCAGCTCGTGCCTCCGAAGCGGCGGCAGTCAGTTTTCTGTCTCTACGGGGTTCGGTCGGCGACGCACAGGGGACGGAGAACGGGAGCTGCGTGGTGAGGATGAGTGACGGGGACCGAATGGTCGCTAGTCGGCCGCAGGGTGGCGCTCTAGTTCGGTTGGTGATGGACCACTTTTCACTGATTGTCGGTCGCATTGACGGGGCAGTTCTCGTGCGTTGCACGGGGCCAGGAAATAGTAGTCAGAGTACCTCGGAGCTGCAGCCGGGCCCGTTGCGAAGTGCCGGCGACAGAAGCGCGCCACGTGACCTGGATATCCGCTTGCGTCACAGATCGGGCGATAGTCAACTGTGCACCAATGGTTTCTGTTATAGCACTGCTGTGTTGTTGGAAATGGCGTCGTTGGTACTCGTACAGGGTGGGGAGTCGGTCTAAGCGGAGAAAAGATGGACGAATTGATGCTTCTGTTGTAATCGGCTTGCTATGTTATCTACCACCGCCTGAGCCAGGCGCGTGACGTGCCAACAACTGAGCGTCATGTCTTTCCCTGCTCTTTCTTCCTTCCCAACTCCCTCTCCCTTCCTATGCTTTAAATACTGTGTTCACGACAAATAAACGTTTTCAGTCCCCAGCGCTAGTCTCGCCTGTCGTTCACGCACTGTGTGTGCGCCGGCTATGTAACAGTGGTGACGAGGATGGGATTGAAACCCATGATAAAAAAGGACATGGCAAGAAAAACCACGGTACGGCATTTAAAGAACCTTCCACAGTGACGACGGCAGCCATGTCCCACCACCAACTTCACGAGTATGATGGCGAGAGGGACAACTGGAAAGCGTATGTCATCAAGGCAGAGGCTTATTTCGAGGCAACGGGGGTTACCGACACAGTGAAAAAAAGGGCGTTGCTCGTAGCAGCGTTAAACACGAGGACTGTGCAGATTCTAACGGGACGAGTTGCTCCGAAGAAACCCAACAGCCTAACCTACGAAGAGGTCGTTGCAGCGCTGGATGAATATTTCGGCCCGAAGCGCCACGAGATAACGGAAAGTTTCCGGTTTTTCAGTCGATGTCAGCACGATGGTGAGCCTTTGCAACATTTCCTTGTCGACCTCCGACGCATTGCAGACAACTGCAATTTTGGCAGCATGCTGGAACGAACGCTCCACGACCGCATAGTCTGTGGCGTCAGATCAAAAGTCTTGTAAAAACAGCTACTGGCAAAGCCAAACTTAACCTTGGAAGAGGCCGAAGCGCTATCAGCTGAAACGGCAGAAGATGACGCAAATAAGATATCGGGTGATGCAATTACCGTACTGAAGGTTGGCGCGCAAAGCGTGTTGACGAACGAGCCTGCGCTAAAATGCGGACGCTGCGGAAGTAAAAATCATAACAGCCACGCTTGCGGTTGAGCCAAAAGTAGGTGCTATCGCTTTGGTAGGCCGGGCCATCTTGCGAAATTGTGTTCGAGCGACGCGCCGAGGAAACGTGAAACCGGGCAGACCCACGGCATGCAGGGACGAGCACTGGCGGTGGAGGAATACCGTGCGGAGGGGAACGTAGACGAAGCCATGCACCTCTGGACTTTGACTTCATCTCGGAAGTGGCAGTTAGAACCCCAATCCACAGGACATTCACGTGGTGCGGCGTTGACATGCCAATGCTGATAGACACGGAGTCACCCGTCTGTGCTGTGCCACGCGAAATTTATGAAAAGAACCGGTAAAAAATGGCCGACATTGAAACCTTCATCTGTCAAGCTTTCATGTTACCTTGGCAAGCTCCCCGTTCTGGGACAATTGGACATGAAGGTAGCCTACAAGTGTGCTGTAGTAGACTGCTCCTTGGTAGTATTAAATTGTCCAGGTCCTAGTCTATGCGAAAGGGACCTAATTTTTCAGTTGAGCAATGCAGGGTCACCTGTCCTTAACTTGACTGCGGAAGCCGGATCGCCAACGAGTCTTCTGGCCATGGACGACATCGTCAACGAGTTTCGTGACATTTTCAGCGCAAAACTCGGCTGCATCAGCGGTACCCCTGTGCACCTTCAACTCAGGGAAGGAGCTACACCCAAGTTCTGTAAGGCATGATTCATTCCTTTCGCTCTCCGTGATAAGGTTTCTCAAGAACTTGACAGACTCGTAGCAATTGGGGTGTTATTACCGGTAGCGCATGCGGAGTGGGCTACGCCCATTGTGCCCGTCTTAAAAAAAGATGAAACAGTTCGAATTTGCGTCGATTTCAAGATCACGTTAAATCCTGTATGCGAACTGGAGCAGTACCCATTGCCGGTGATTGAGAATATGTTTGCATGCCTAGACGGCGGAGAGTACTTCATTCAGCACTCTCGCCTTACGTGACGCGTATAATCAAGTACCGCTTGACCAAGAATCGCAGAAGCTATGCGTCATTAACACACATCGAGGGCTATTTTGCTTCAAGAGGCCGCCTTTTGGCAGAGCGTCTGCCCCAGCCATCTTCCAGCGACAAATCAAAACAGTCCTGCAGGGGCTACCAGGCGTGCAAGCTTATCTCGATGATGTGTTGGTTGCGGAGCGACAGGGAAGCAGTGAGACCCTGCGAACGGTACTGCAGCGTTTCCGTCAGCACGGTGTAAAACTCCGGCTAGACAAATGCAAATTTAGTCGGCCTTCAGTCACGTACTTAGGGCACCAAATCGACAAAAACGGCCTACACCCCACTGAGAAACATGTGGAAGCAATCGCCGAGGCTCCTAGCCCGACAAATGTGCAGGAACTACGCTCATTTCTGGGCATGCTGTCGTATTACTCCAAGTTCCTGCCGAATATGTCATCTTTGCTTGCACGTTTGTACCAGTTGCTTTGCAAAAATGCGCGTTGGGTCTGGGGAGAAGCTCAACAAACGGCCTTTTCCAATGCAAAGCAGTGCCTACTTGCGGCAGGGGTGCTCGTTCACTACGACCCCGAAAAGCCATTAAAGCTGGAGTGCGACGCTTCGCCGCAAGACATTGCTGCCGTGTTGTTTCATACGGATGGAAGAGAGAACCGGCCCATAGGCTTCCGTTCGCGAACGCTGACAACTGCTGAGCGGAATTACTCCCAGCTAGAACGTGAGGCCTTGGCCCTTGTTTTTGGGGTGTAGAAATTTTGCGACTATCTCCTCAACAGAGATTTTACCTTGGTCACAGATCACCAGCCGCTACTGGGCCTGTTGAAAGCGGAGAAGCCAACGCCAGCGTTGGCCGCAGCACGAATACGGCGCTGGGCTCTCTACCTTGATGGATTTCGCTACAAGCTTCAGTATTCACCCGGTAAGCTGCTACTAAACGCCGACACCCTCAGCCGGCTACCGCTGCAGACTCCAGTTCCACCATGAAGAAGCGAACCCCCAGAGTATGTTTCCGCTCTAGCAAGTTTTGATGATGGTACTGTGTCTGTCGAAGAACTCCAAGCTCTAACTGCGCGGGACCTCTTACTAGCGAGGGTCGTGGAGTACACCAAGTAGGGCTAGCCGAAACATGTAAAGGACAGAGAGTTGGTGCCATTCTCGGGCCGCCGGTTAGAGCTATCCGTAGCTCATGGGTTGTTATACTGGGGTCATCGAGCTGTTGTTCCCACAAAAGCACGAGAACGGGTGCTATATATGCTGCATGAGACGCATCAAGGGTCATCGGCAATGAGGGCTGTCGCCAGTTCGGCATTCTGGTGGCCGGGACTAGACCGAGAGATAGAACACCTCTCAGCGTCATGCCACAACTGCGTGCAAAACCTTCCTATGCCAGCCTCTGCTCAACCAGTGAGTTGGCCAGCAGATAAGGAAAAATGGTCCAGGCTGCACGCCGATTTCGCCGGGTCGATCGCAGGCAGCATGATACTGGTAGTCGTGGATGCTGCAACTAAGTGGATTGAAGCCGTGCCCATGAGGAAGGCAAGCACGTCGTCTACTATTGCCAGCTTTCGCAGCATTTTTGCCAGATTTGGTGTTCCACGCACAATTGTTACGGACAATGGCACGCAGTTCACTAGTGAAGAATTCGCCACTTTTCTGATGAACAATAACATCACACACCTCCCTACGGCTGTGTATCGCCGCCAGTCTAACGGGCTCGCTGAACAAGCTGTTCGGACGATCAAGGAAGCTTTAAAGAAGGTAAGCGAAGGCACATTAGAAGAGAAATTGGTGAAAATTCTTTTCAACTACAGGAGAACGACGTGCCACGAGGGAAAATTCCCTTCCGAACTTCTATTCGGCTACTTGATCCGCTCTCGCTTGGACTCATGTTTCCCACCTTTCCCAGGGTCAACCCAGGAGACGGAAGAGTGGACACTGCCGCCTGGCACAGCCATGTACGCCCGTAACTACGGCCAGGGGGAGAAATGGACACCAGGGAAAGTTCAGTCCACTGCAGGGTCACGCATGGTCACCATACAAACGCCCGCAGGGGTGGTTCGACGTCACATAGACCAAATGCGTTCCAGGCCAAGCCCGGCATTTGCCCGGAGCGGCGCTCAGCGGGACCAAGACGAGGGGAGCCCTCCGGCTGCAGGGGCGCCCACACCAACCGGCAACGAAGGCAAGTTGAATGAGCAGCCTGCAGACCAGGTGGCACCTGCGCAACCGTAGCCGCCTATCCAGAATGCGCAGAAATCCCCACAAGTTTTGTGACGCTCTACCCGGGAAAGAAAATCTGTACAGCGTTTTCAACTCTAAGGGAGGAGAAATTTTGTAATCAGCTTGCTATGTTATCTACCACCGCCTGAGCCAGGCGCGTGATGTGCCAACAACTGAGCGTCATGTCTTTCCCCGCTCTTTCTTCTTTCCCAACCCCCTCTCCCTTCCTATGCTTTAAATACTGTGTTCACGAAGAATAAACGTTTTCAGTCCCCAGCGCTGGTCTCGCCTGTCGTTCACACACTGTGTGTGCGCCGCCTATGTAACAGGTTCCTTGTCGCCGACGACCATCTAACGAGGTATACTGAAACAGCTCCAGTACCTACGGCTGGTGCGCATGATGTAGCCGATTTCGTCTTGCGACACTTCGTACTGCGTCATGGCGCACCACGTGAAGTACTGAGTAATCGAGGGCGTGTCTTTTTATCCAAAGTTGTACAACTCCTTCGGGAATGCCGTATGGTGCACCGCACATCTACAGTATACCACCCGCAGACCAACGGTCTAACTGAGTGCTTCAACCGAACGCTAGGAGACATGCTCGCCATGTATGTCAATTCCGACCAATCGAACTGGGATGTCATTCTTCCTTTTGTGACTTATGCGTAGACCACTGCGACGCAGTCAACCGCAAGCTTTTTGCCTTTCTTTCTTCTATATGGGCGTGAGCCATGCTCCACCCTTGACAACGTTTTGCCGTATTGCCTCGACGTCTCAGAGTTCAACCCTCTTTCTGAAATTGTGCACCACGCTGAAGAGTGTCGTCAGTTGGCCCGATCCTGCACCTCGGACAAGCAAGCACTCGAAAAATACTACCACGACCACGACCATCAAGTCGAGACTTCTGCGTGGACTCGATCCTCTGGCTCCGACTGACCTTCCACTTCCCAGGTTTTTCCTCTAAGTTTGCCCCGAAGTTTCACGGTCTTTATCGCGTCGTCGAACGTCAATCTCATGTCACACACGCGATCAAGCCGGTCACGCAACCTACAGACAGGCGATGCCTTGGTCGTTAGACTGTCCACGTGAGTCGTCTCAAGCCCTATCACGACCCACCCTAACTCTTGGCAGCTTGACTTGCCAGGATGGCTCATCTTCGTCGCCTGGATATTGTAGAGAGGAAAAGATTATGTGCCACAGAGGGTCACGCCTTTAGCGAGAGAAGCCGAGCGTGAGCTGTTGCCTCGAGCACTGCGATTCCTTGAGCGGTTGCTACCACCCGCTTTCCGCATCAATAGACCTGCTGTGCAAGTACTACTTACGTCAATAAAGCCCGTTTCACACAGAAAAACACATTTATTTAGTGATGTTATGAAAGAAATCACCAGATAGAGGGAAAGGGTAGGAGTCATAGGGAGGAGTGTTGCCGCGATAGCTCTCCTTTGCCGCTTTGCATGCAAGCGGAATGTGTTCATGTTCTTTTGCAAGTCATCTGGCCCCTCGGGCAACCCTGCCATTCGTTCAGTTTAGTTACCCATACTTGAATTATTATTGTTAACGCGTTGTAAACTGGACGAACAGGAGCTTACCTATTTCTCAATGAGATAAAACTGATGAACACAAGTAAACGTGAGCCCCGCCGTGGTGGTCTAATGGCCAAGGTACTCGGCTGCGGACTCGCCGGTAGCGGGATCTGATTGCGGCAGCGGCGCCTGCATTTTTAATGGAGCCAAAAAATCTGTAGGCTTTCGTGCTCAAATTTGGGTGCCCCTTAATGAACCCAAGAAGATCACAATTTCTGGAGCCTTCCACTACGGTGTCGTTCATAATTGTATGGTGATTTTTGGTTTTTAAATCCCGCGTATCAATCAACCAAGTACAAGTGAAGTCCTTTTGTTGAAGTCGGAGTGAAGGCCAACGCTAAACCTCAAGTTTTCTTGCGCTGCTCCTGATTCAAAATTCTCAAAATAGGAATAAAAAAGACAAGCAAATTAAGGATTTGTTCTTTACGGTTCAATCAAATTTGTTTCAATGACTTCCCCTAACGAATATTCTTCCCAATCTAGCGATTACGCTTTGTTTCGATCTAAATTTATAATAGTGATTTCCACTTTTCTACTCACAATTTACTGGGCGTAGAATTGAGCGGCAATAAGCACGCGAGAACCCACATACTGATGGCTTCTGAATAAATGAAATAATAAACTTGATTTAAAGTCCGGGAGATTTTACCGGGTGAGTTGGGAGAAGAGGAGCTTAACCCCTGTCACTCCCCACTCTCCGTCGATTATGATGGCGATGTATCAGGTAACCACTCGAAGTCCTTGGACCCGGGCGGCATTTTCAGCTTGCTGGACGGCCCAAAGATGGTCGGCCAGCTCGTCGCTGGTGAGTGCCGCCTCCCAGGGGCAGCGCAGCTGATGCAGCAGATCGGCAACAGTGCTACCACTTCTGCTACCGTTGGCAACAGTGCTGCCACAACTGCTGCTACCACCACTCCTGCCCTCGCGCGGTGGTAGCAGCAGTAATTGGCCCAAGAGTTCGTCTTTGTCTACATGCGCCGCAAAGGGAGTGGTAACAGTGACGTTAACTTTTCCAGCACACTCACAAAGCATGTGCCGCCGTGCGGCCCTTTCTCCGCGCATTTTACACGCGTCCGTCGGCTATAGGTGAGGATAACGCAGGCGTAGGACCGCCGGGCTTGGGTGCGTATTTGTCTGTAATAACCTCAGAGTTACGGCCTTTCTTTTCTTCAGTTTGGTGTGTGGTGGTGGGTATCTGCGTCTGTTTAGTCTGTATTGTTGTGTAACATCGTTGCATGTGGTCAGGCGATCACCCAACGACGATTTCAGTTGTTGCTGTCCTGAAGACAATTTCATCGCCTCGCTCTCGGAGGTGAAGGCGGCCACCAAATCGGCCACGGCTCAGCGCGTGAGATCTCGAGCCTCGGTGTGGGCCGCACTTTATTAATTTAAAGAATACGCCTATCACGTATTGCGGCAACGTTTCATGCTACGTACCATTTTGTCAAAACCAGAGACGTCTGCATGAGCTGGTGTAATGAAGCCATGCTATGGGGCACTGGGATGTGTGCACATGAAGTAATAAATCGAAAAACATACAAAAAACAGGCACACATAAAAACATAACTATACTTGATATTATATACACCCTGGTCAGCGTGGCTACATCAGCGTGCGATCCGCATTATACATTTTCAGACGTCTTGCGAGAGGACGAAATATTAAATATACCAGCAACGTGCTATGGTATCGGCATTACTGCCCTACTGATACGAAACGTTCTGCGCGCCACGTCTTTATTAACGCGATAGCCTTAAGTGCCAACCACTGGCACGCGTATGCACGCGCCTACGCGTCAAAAGCGTCTAGTCGCGCCTGTGGAGGAAAAGGGGGCGCAACTACTGACACGCGTCGACCGCGTTGACGCCCACGCGTCCAAGGCCGATGCACAATGTTGCTTGATCTTTTGGCTTAGAACTGTCCAAGTTCAGCACAGAACGGCACGTTCTCAACTGGAGCGGGACTGTATGTTTTAGAGGATATGAGAACACGTTAACAAGTTGATAGTGCTTCAACCACCACAGTTTAGACTATTTTAGAAGTAATTGACATTTCAGTGCCCAAAGTAACTACAGCGGTGTGTACCAGAAATCGACATTGGTGCGTGCGCCGCTCCCGCGAATGAACATTCGCGTCTAACATATTGTACGTCTATCATAGGCGTGTGCTGGGTTCTCCATAAGGAGGGGGGAGGGGCAAAAGTTTGTCCCAGTGCCCCTCTCCAGGGCTGACTTAGCACCCCTCCCTATTATGTTAATACATGGAGTTGACATTGAGCTCTCCCCCCCCCCCTCCTCTCTGCGGTGAATGAGGCGTGGCTGCCCTCCTGATCAGGTTTACAAACCACCGGGTATACATACCTGCACTACCAATGTTACTAACAATATCTTGCATATGCTGGTACCTTCAGTATATTTACCAACATATTTTATATCAGTCAACCTAATAATCATGCCTGCAACTTCATGATCTGACAGATTTAAGTCAGTCACAAGACTACAATTGAGGCCAGAGTAGCAGGCTTTCGGCTGATGTGCGTGTTCGAAATATCTTCTAATGCAACAACGCACACCTGGTTCTTATTGATACAACTGATATTGGCCATAAGATAGGAAGCAAATACTGCGTAGAATGCCTTCGGGCATTTTCCATAGTCGAAATGTGCTGTAATTCAACTAACTGTGCCTGAAACTTCATGATGTGACAGATATCGGTCATATTATTGCAACTGACCCCTGTATGGAAGACTTCTGGGCGTTGTCTTTAGTCAAAGTATTCTCTAAAACGACAAATGACACCCAACTGTTCACGAAGTCACAGATATCGGTCATAATATTAGAATTGAAACCTTAATTCAAGACTTCTAGACGTTGTCTTTAGTCAAAGTATTCTCTAAAGTGACAAGCCGCACCCAACTGTTCATGAAGTCACAGATATCGGTCATAATATTGGAACTGAACCCTGTATAGAAGGCTTTCGAATGTTGTCTGCAACCAAAATGTTCTCCAATGCAACAACCCACACCTACTCTTCATGATGTGACGGATTTAGGTCACGAGACTGTAATTGTACACTGTGCAGAGGGCTTTCGAATGATAAGCGTATCGGAAATATCCTCTAATGCAATGAACCGCACCTCGCTCTTAATGATACAACAGATACTGGTCATAGGAATGGAACCAAGCATTACATATAATGCCTTTGGGAATTTTTTGTGGTAAAAATATGCTTTAACGCAATTAACTGTACCTGAAACCTCATGATAAGACAGATATTGGTCATAGGACTGCAACTGAACCTTGTATGGAACACTTCTGGATGTTGTCTATAGTTAAAGTATTCTGTTAAACGACAAACTGTACCCACCTCTTCATGAAGTCACAGATATCGGTCATAATACTGGAACTGAACCCTGTATTGAAGGCAGTC